CCTGGCTGAGGGCAGGTGGAGGCTGGTCTGGGCAGGGAGCAGCCAGAGCCGGGCCTGAGTCACAGCACCCGGCTGTCCCCAGGGCCCGTCCACACCCCTCACCATCTCTTCTCCCCCAGTCTAGGGACCGGAAGATGGTGGGAGACGTGATTGGTGCCCGGAGCTATGCATCCACCGCCAAGTGCCTGAACATCTGGGGCGTGGTCCTGGGAATCTTTATGAGCATCGGACTCATTGTTCTCCTGGTCTTTGTGCTCCCGGGAGTCATTCATTCCGTGATGCCTAACAGACCCTTCTAGTCGCCACCATGGCAGGTGGCCGAGTCCTCCCCACCCCCTGCTGGCCCTCCTGGGCGCCCACCCCTTTCCCCTGCACCTGTACACACACCTGTCTGCAGCTGAGCTCAATAAAGTGCACCTGTGCGTGACAATGCTGGCCTTTCCTGGGCAGGGGCACTGCCCGCCCCGCCTGCCCTTGTACAGCCCCCCTTGCTGCTCTGAGGGGTCCTGGCACTTTCTCAGATGGTCCTGGTTGCTGGCCTCCAGCTGGGAGCAGCGGCTGCACCAGGGGCCTAGGAGGGGGGTCCCTCCTTCCCAGTGTCTCACCCTGACCCAAGGGGCACTGGGCCAGCTCACCCTTGGCCTGAGGAAAGCCTGTCTGACTCTGAGCAGCTGGGAGCAGCGGTGCTGGGTGAGGGCGGCCGGCGGGTCCTCTGGAGGTCACGGTGTCTGCACGTGGGGTGCAGGGGTGCAGCCCAGGCCCCCGGCCCCTCCTGGGCGGCCCTCCAGCCCACCAGCTCTGTCCTGGCTCCTCTGCAGGGGGAGGGTTAGGGGCAGCCAGTGGCCTGGGAGGGACAGAGGGCTCAGTCCCAATGGACAGAAACCCTGAGAGGAAGGACCAATCCTCCCACTGATACCGAATTTTGGGACTGGAACCCGGATCCTTTGTCCGCTGGAATCGAAGAATTAATCCACGGACAGAAAGTGGTCTAGCAAAGATGAAGATTTATTGGCAAACTCCCACGTAAGGAGGGGTAAGAGTCCCACAGAATGAACTTCCAAGTAGGGAGGGGGAACGGGTCCCACGGAGTCCCTGTTCTCTATGGTTTGTAAAGGCTGCAGTTCCTGTGCCCTCATATCCCCCCTGATCGGTCCACATTCCCCTTCGACACCTGAGGTTCTCCCTCCTCCTTCCCTCTAGGCTCCCTTCCTTCTTCATTTTGTAAATAGAGACCTCTCCTGGCCACTTCCAGTGTCCTCGTCCCATGCAAATGCCCCTGCTGCTGCTTCCTTGTCTTGTGGAGATGTCGCTGCACCTGCTTCCTGGGGTGATGGAAGTGTGCCTTCTCCCAGGCTGCAGCCCCGCGCTTTTCCGTGGACCCCAATTCTAAAAAACCCTAAGCCTGCCTCTGTTCCTGTTGTAACGTACCCCGCGAATCACAGAAGGACGCCTCAAGAAGTCGAATTAAAGAGTCACACTTATTGCAATCCGGGACTATGCGGGGCCATTCCCCAAATCTCATAGTAAGATGGTCCCAACTCCAGATTTATATACGAAAAAATCACAAAGGTATTGATTGCATCTCAGGGTTTGGAATGAGGAACCTGGTTCGCAAAAAAAGGCAGTTTACAGAAGCAGAATTAAGCATGTTAAGGACAGTTTTGGGTCTCCGGATCACTGAGTTGACAGAAACCCATCATCTGGGACCGCTGGGTTGACAGGAACATATTATCTAGAACCCTCGGGTCTGAACCACTGAGTTGGCTGAAACACATTATCTGGAACCCCCGGGTCTTGGGATAATTGTGCTGTCCTGGGTCCCAGGTACAGAGGAATGTGCCCTCTAAAACCAGTAAGATAACAATCAATGGGGTAGTCATTCAATCAAATGGGATGATTTATACAATTCAGAAAATCAAAGTAACTTTTCTATTGTTAAGCCAAACAACAGGGTTAGAGTTAAACTACAGTTTCAATCTGAAATGATTGCTACCATA